TCATATAATACACAATTGGGAGTTGCATTTCTTCGAGAATATTTGGATTAGTTTAAAATAATTTAAAAATTACTTTATTTGAAACTATATAAGAAGGTAAAATTATATTACTATCATTGAATTGTTTACAGCCTAGGGCTATTAATTTAACAATATTTGATAGAAACCTCTTATTTTTCCCAAGTAACAGTTGGTGCAAATATTTGATCAAACAATTTGGGCTTAGTTTTCAATTTTCTTATTCATTGATTTCTTTTAAAGGAAATAAGATAAATTGTAAAGAATTTAAATTCTTCAATTTTGCTTCCAATTCAGGTTTGGAGAGTAGAAAATGCAAAATTTCTTAGATCTCAAAACATGCCAGTTCTGTCCACTTCAAATTCTTTTTTGAATCTCAATTGTTTCACACGGTCTTTTTAATTTCTCGGAATTGTCTTTTAGGGTCCGTTTGATTGGTAAATGTGGAAATGTTTTCCAATTTCTTATAAGTATCCCATATGAATGCGTTTTTCATGAAATTGGCAAAAAAACAACCTTAAAGTAGTGTACTTTGGAATTCGAACTTCATTTCCACTTTCGTGTTAAACAGACATAGTATAAATTGAATTCCTCGGATGTGAAATTTTTCATGAAATTTAAACCATCTGTTTGATAGGCAAAAGTGTAAAAGAATTCAAATTCCATATTAGTTGGAAAATAAAAATCCACAAAACCCATAGGAATTCATTTTCCATGAAAACAAAGAAAATGCAGTTTAAAATGGCTGTTACTTGAAATTCGGTTTCCATTTCCACGTTGCAATCAAATGGTCAAAATAAAATTCGTTTTCCTCGAATGTGACATTTTCCATGAAATCCCAAACAATCAAACATGGCCTTGAGTAGAATATTTTTCTGTACAAATAAAAGCAAAACTCTTGAAGTAAATTTCCGCGAAGAACGTAAAAGAGAATAGAATGTAAGGATTGGGATGGGATGAGACGGAAATCCCCTATTTGAGCCACATTATTTTTTTCATTCATTTTTCTACTCATTTTCAACAACGCATTTTTCATAAAATAATATCATTCATTGCATCAATAACTTTTCTTCTTTTTCAACCACATATTCTTCATCACATCAAACAAAAAAAATGCATTTTTGGACTCAAAATGTGCACCAAACAAGTAAAATAGATTTATATATATAAATTTTTTTTTTTTTGAAATGTCCCTGTTCATTGTCATTCGAATGAGGGTCAAAACAACTTCTTTTTTCTTTTTGATAATGCATTGCACTTTTAGAAAAGTTGCATTTATTTAGTTGAGAGAAAAAGTCATAAAAAGTTGTATCAATTTCAAATAAAGTATTTTTAATGTAAGACCACCTTACGTGGTTTAAAAGATGATACCATATACTATTTAATTGACCTACTGTAGTCTAACACGTGTCTTCAACTTTCAAGGAGTCAATTAAAACAAAACTTAATGCCTCAAAACTGTCGAACATATTTTCACGTTGTCGATAAATAAGCTCAACCATTTCTTTACTGTCTGTTGTACCAATATTTTAAAAATCGATGTGACTATCTGATTACACCTAAATATACGAGGAAA